AATGTAAACATGGGAAATTATTATTATTATTATTTAGGAATTCACATCTGTGTCCCGAAGAAGTATTGAGTCACAAGCAGGTAGGCTACTAACACTGTTAAAACAACTTCCTCTATATCTTTGAATAACAGTTCTAGTGTCCAACACAAAATAATGAGGTTGATAAAAACGGAGAGGAAACAAATGTGGCAATATATTAGAAAACAAAAGAGCATAGGAAAAAAAAGAGATCTTTATGACTCATTGCTCCTCTTCATTCCAGAAGTCAGTGCTGGCTTATTTGTTTGTCATGTTTACGGCAGCCTTGACAACTAATAACTTTCTGTGGGAGTTTCTTGTGGGTGGTAATCTGCACCAGCAGATCGGCTGGCCATATGTTCTTTGATTATTGAAGGTGATGTGTGAGAGTACTGTCAGCGTTCTGTGCTGTGCTATCTGAAGTAGAAACACAGGTCAGGGCTCGCAACCGAAACTCGACATATGCTAATGAACTCATCTCATAAAATATGCATCTAGCCCTCCCAGGACCAAACAGTGGCAGAGGCGTGATTTTGCAGGAATTATGAGAACAGTCATTTCCCATTATGTTGAAGCTAAATGAGCAGTGACCTGCGGGAGAAGCATGTCTGACCCATGTCAACACAGTTCCTGCCAATTTCATATGGAGAACTTTGCAGATCAGTTTTGACTTTTAAGGTACTGTGGTGACAGTGAATAAATGGATCCAGTTACACAAGATAACCTTGCTGGAGTAATATTCCTCTGAAGCCAATGTTCTAAGTCTGTATAATTAATCAAAGACAATGATGTCAATGAGGGCTCCATTTATGAAATCAGAGGCATGCTGTCTTCCATTACTGTACAGCTTCTAAGTGCATTAGGAGGGAGAGAGAAACAATAAACCAGGTGTGGGAACCATTAGTTTCATTCAACTTCCCAACAAATTGTGATCCCSTTCTTGTTTGCAACACAGTTTAATGTAACAAGGCCAAAGTTGAATGMTCTGGTGCTGACAAGGTAGTCAACATCGTAAACAAAGTGTGAACAGGAACAAGAGTATTTTGCTCAATAATAAATGAGGTTTTTACAAATGGATCTCTACAAATTTATTGTCTTCAACGGAACAACCTGTGTAATAAATACACATTTATTTACAGTTCTTAAAATGCTGCTATTTTACTAGCACTGACAAATAAAGCTAAATAATGTGCACTWTATTATAGAAAAAAATAAAAACATGTTATGCATTTGCTGGTGGAAGGTTTTGTATTGTAAAATGCTTTTAACTGGTTAGAATCCCCTTAAAATGGAMACAAACACAACTGGACCTTTGTGAAGAAGTTGAAGAGGTTTTGCGTCTTATCTGGGAAGCTTTAACATGGAGTTTCAAGCTTTCAAACTACATAGAAAAAGCTCAGTCATGTAAATTAAACTTACTCCCCTTTCACTGGAGAGCCATTTGGRTCTTTGTTTGCCTGGTTCAAAAAAGATGCTTTGATCTCGTGGGAGTTAGAGGAGGAATGATTGGGTATCAGGTTTAATGCTTCATTGTATGTTCTGGAAAGAAGAAATCTGAGAATTCCTCCTTTGTTTAAAGTTTATTTTC